GATGCGACAGCCCTCCGCTGGTGAACGAAAGGGCCCCATCTTGTTCGGATTGTGACGCAGCCGCGCACCCTAGGGTTTTGTTTGGCCTTGAAGCTTTGCATCATTTCGGCCCCCCAGCGCCCAGCCTTGGTATGGGCGATTCATTTGGTTTTGCAGGAATTCGTTACCCAAAAGGAGCAAAGTCGACTCAGCCTCACTCACCGTCGATGCAACGTTTGTCAAATCTCGCAGACGGCTGATCCCCAAGAGCGCGAAGAAAGCTTGGTCTTTTGCTTAAAAAATAGGGTAGACGGGTCGAGAACAAGGGTGTCGAGAAGGTGATTTCAAAAAGATTGCCTGTTTGGGTAAGGGACAGCGAATAAGCACACATTTGGAACTGAAATGATTTCTCGCGATCATGAACATTTTGGATTCAAGCTGATCTTGCTGTGGAGACGGAAACCGGTCAGCTCACACTCCGTTTATCCAATCGGCACTCGAGATTGGCCGCGCGTGGAGTATCGAATCCCTGCCGTTTATAATTTAAATGGATTCATTATCACACCCAAGCCACACCAATTATATATTATTGACCGTATTGGTCCCGGGGAGCATTTTCACTCAATGTCTCCGAAACGAACCCGATGTGGGCCATGCCAAAAAAATTATTTTATTTCCTCGAGAAGGCACGTCAAACCGTTGGTTTAGGCGTAACGGCTTCTGTTGCGCACACACGTTAGTCAATGTCTCTCTGCATATGTCGTGCGATCGATGCATTTCGAATACTTCCAACAGGCATACGTATGCGTTCTGTGGAGCCGATCTCCACGGAGGACTCCTAATCTTTAAGGTGAGTTTTTTCTATTTTGTAAAACAAAAAAAATACTTGAAATCAAGCCCTAGCTAAATATGTTTGAAAAATTCGTCGCAATTGTAGCCCTCGAGGTAGCATTTTCTTCAAGTTTTCATGACTATGCAACATTGCACCAATATTAATCTTCCTAGAGAAACCCTGCGAATGTGTTGTTTTTTCAAAAGGCCCCAAAAGCGGTTGAGCCGGGGCAATTCGAGACGTTCTTCGTGATTGTGATGCCTCGGTAGATTTCGCTTATGCAAAGCACGAAACGGTCGAAACTCCCCCTACTTAAAGGATGCAGGAGGGTCTTTCCAACATCTAACATCCAACATGGGACGAGGGTTCTAAGCTAGGAGAGCCAGTGTGCAACGTTTCGATCGAGTACTAGTGTTTTGAGTCTAACTATATATATTTCTTCTTGATTCCAGCCAGCCAACATGCCGCAGACGTATTCCTACGATGCATATACCGTATCCTTCCCAAAGGATGGAGTTGCGGTGGTCGAGATTAACCGACCAGAAGCTCTGAATGCCTTCACCGAGACGTAAGTCGAGCTTAGATGTAACATTAGCTCTTCAAATTACCCCGTAGAGCGAGTGTCCTTGTTTTTTGGGCGTTATAGTACCTGTCGGACCTTTGGACTAATCCGATCCGATTCCGATATCAGTATGATTGTAGATATTGGACGCATATTCGAGCAACTCTCCACAGACTCGGATTGTCGCGCCATCGTATTAACTGGTGCTGGAGATAAAGCATTCACCGCTGGGTTGGATATTAAGAAGGCCAATCTTGCGGGTTCCGCGGAAGTTGTGGATCCAGCTCGTAAAATGATTTCTGAGCTGCGCCCAATGCTTATGAAACTCCAAAATGCGGTGACGCAAGCTGAGAAGTCTTTGAAACGTAGGTTCATTTTAAAATTCATTTTTTATTTTTTATTCTCATGTGGAGTTTTTTTTTGTTTTGGCCTGTCGGGTTTCCGTCCGCCAAAAATTTCCGAGAATTTATTGTTGTTCAAATCGGGTCCGTAGCTAATAATGTCGGGGCCGACGTATAGCCGTCATTACCGTTCTCCACGGTTACTCTTTTGGGATGGCCATTGACCTTTCAACCGCAACCGATATCCGGGTTTGCACTGAAGATGTCAAACTGTCGGTCAAAGAAGTCGATATTGGGTTAGCGGCAGACGTTGGATCTCTATCAAGATTGGTGAAAGTTGTAGGGTCGATGTCATGGGTGAAGGATATTTGCTTCACGGCCCGGGTATTCGGTGCAGAAGAAGCGCTGAAACAGGGTCTCGTCAGCGCTATCTACAAGAACAAAAAGGATGCATTGGAGGGTGCACTGAGATTGGCAGAGTTGATTGCTTCGAAGAGCCGTAAGACTTTCCTATAATTCACTTTCAATATATTCTGGTGCTAACATTTATATCAGCTGTCGCCGTGCAAGGATCTAAGGAACTACTGAACTATTCCGTTGATCATTCAGTTGAAGATGGTAAGTTACAGCTATGAATGCAACCCCTTTTTAAACCTTCTAACACATTCGCAAGGTCTACGATACACCGCCGCCTGGAATCCAGGTGCATTACAAACAACAGACATCCCGCTCGCCGTTCAAGGAAGCCTGACAAGGACAAAACCCAGATTCGAAAAGCTTTGAAGATAACAACAAAGCTATATATTACCTAAACTAATATTTGTACTATATATGAACTGATTAATTGTACTTTTTTGGTTAATTATATTCTGCGTGATAAATATATAATATAATCGTTTCTACATATCAGTATCGCCCTCCTTGGTTCTTCCTTTATGTCTTGGGTCTAACTGTGACATCGCAACATCGCTACCCGTCTTATTTGTATCTAAATTGGTAATTGGCAATATTTCGTCGCTGCTTATTGATTCTGCTGGTAATTCTGCGACTCTGTGGTATGGTTGCAAAGTGTCCCATTGATTCTCATATCTAGGTGAGCATATGGTGTTTTTCGAGGTAGAATTGTGATCGTATATTGTACCTAAATCATATAATATGCTGGGTTGGTTTGATACCATACGCCTGGAGGTAGAGTTACAATCCGCTGACCATCAATGGGATGGAAGACACTCAGTTGATCTCTCCTCCGCTCTAGCGGCCTCCTCGGGATGGCCGCCATACAAAGGCTGGAATGAACAAAATCCAAATCTCAGAAGTCTGAGTAGGCCTCTGTTCTATATAACATATTGGGTAAAAGGTTAGTTCAACTATGGCAAAGATTATTCAGGCCAATACAAGTTTCAATAATCTAGGTATACGTACTCGAATTATCGTAGACAATCCCGCCATAGCTATAGAGAATTATTGAAGATCCATCAGATGCATAAGCTGCGACAGCGCAAATATCTCGTGTATTACTTGGCAGACCCTCCTTTCCGGGCTGTACGGGCTGGGAGTACCACTGTTTATTTTCAATGTCGTATATATAGACAGTATCTAACGCTAGCCCATGTCCCCAGACGCCTCCACCACCATAATTCACGAGATATTTCTTGCCACCGAACTCTATTGGTATTAAAGTACCTTGGCGGTACCCATGAGATATCGGATCAGGAAAGGCTGTCACGGTGTCGTTGTTGCCGTCATTGATGTCATGTTAAACGTGCGTAGTCTATGATATTAAATTTGTTAGATGGCGTGTTTCTGACCAATCATCATCACAATGTCTTACCCAGCGAGAAGCTCAAAATCAGATGACCCAGGAAATCCAGGAACCGCGCCACTAGAGTTGAGGTATGCGCCACCATATAGAAGGATCCTGTTTTTGACTTCATCGTACTATAAAGATGCATTAACTAAATAGGAGAACTGAAATTAGAATCGGCGGTATTTAGTTCTATAATGAGCTTACTTGCCAACGCTAGGAGGACCGGTCTCTGGTACTGGGATAGCTTTGAAATAAGGAATTTCAGTCTTGAAATTTCTATTAGTGTCAATTGAGAAGAAGCGCGGGAGCTGTGGATCGGAGCGTCGAGACTTATCTAATATCAATCGAGTTGTTATTTATGGATATTGCGATATATGCTGATTTGAGAGGACATACTATTCACAAGATTACCTTCACTTCCATATATGTAAATTGTGTCCTCAACTTGTAGACCTTGAAGTGTGCTTCGATTAGTACAATACCAAAAGTATTTTGTCTCCAATTGGTAGATATATAATTTACTTGCGTGCCAGAATCTGCAGACTGTTACGTTTGTGATGGTCCATTCCTGACAAATAGATAGATTAATAACCCCGAGAGAGTAGGCAGAAATACTTGTTACGAAAAATATTAGAAATAGTTTGAGTTGCGTCATGTTGGCCAATTTAACGCATATATTCACACATATAATCAATATAGCCTATGGTTTAGAGGGCTTGTAAGGTATATTCCAAGAAGGTGATTCGATAGAACGATAGAACGGCGAATATTCCTGTGGTTTATAGTCCATTATATAACTAGAATTAAATGTGATTTTGAGGATGCTAGGACTGAGTGGCTAAAGAACAATAGTAGGGGAACGAATTTCATGGCGTTGGATAGCTGTCTAGGGTGGTTCTCGTGAGCTTCTCCTTCGAGTGTTTCAAAGAGCGATGCAGTGGATAACAGGAATCTTGGAAATGTTGGTTGTTACCATTCGGCGCTATGTTGTCGGTCGGAATTGAATTTTGGGGGCCATACCTCTAAGGGGTATTATGTATGTTGGAGTCAAAAGTTGTATTTCGTTTTGTTGGAGCTCAGAGCCATCTAAAACTGCAGAAGAAGTCTCGGTATGTAATACAACTTCAAAGATCGAGATCGGAACATATGGACGCCGGACAGGTTTGGGTATTCAAATTTTATGATCCGCAATGATAGCGAAAGCGGTGAGATAGCTAATAGACAGCCAGCGATAAAACATCATGGATATTGATGTTTCCAAAAGGTGTTGTGAGATGTTGCATACCCTCTCTGAGCTGCAGCAAGCCGACGAACAACATGCCTTTTCTGGAGTGCATCCAGAGTCATACTTATGCTAGCTAATACACGTGCTGCTGAGGTTGGGGACAGCCGGGCCAACAGCAAGCTATGAGAAAGAGGGAAAACAAAAAAAAAAAAAAAAATTGCAAAAAAAACTTCATGGTAGACTTCATTGGAGCTTAGTCCAAGTGGGATTCGAACCCACGACCTTCGCATTTCTTCGGCATATGAAGCTGGTTTCCCAGTATCTCCATATAAGAACGACACTCTAACCACTGAGTTATAGGACTCGTTACCCAGCCCACCGAGCTATAACGCTATCTAAACTCGGTGGCTAATCTCTGCCGGCAAAGGTGGTCACAAAAACCTCACCATCATATTTGCAACACCACAACACTTTTTCGACGGCATAGGACACGACATGGACACGACAAGGCTGGCCACATCCGGAACGAGACCAGATCCAAGCAACAAACACTCATGAATCAATTCTGTTAGAACACATCAACATAAGGAAGCAATAGAAAAGAAAACTCTTTCTTCTTAATATCAAACAAAGACTACACTTAGGAATTAATTGTCAATTTGTATCAACGAAAAGAAACTTCTCGAAACAAAATGTTCGCCAGGTTAAATCTCGGTCTGCTCCATATTTGGTAACCTGAGGATCCTCCATATTTTATCACTGCCACAAATTTACTACAGAATGTTATTAGCTTCTATTCTTGAAAGTGAACACGTTTGCCCACCTGGCTGGCTCCTATAACGTCCGTGCCATGGACCGAGACTGCAGCATTGGCAGAGTGTTCTCTCTTCTCAGCATTGACATGGTCAGATCTAATCGATATAATCTCAGAAGGGTTGATAAGTTAAATTTCACACCCGATTGGCTTTTATATTTTCACCACTTACGCATATATCTCAGGTGCAGCCTGGTTAGACTCATGTGTGCGCTTTTCGATATTCCTGCCCTCGGAACTAGCGAGATGAAAATTCGTTAGGTTAGGAAGAATTGCTTAATAATAGCCTGGAAAGTGGGTGCTCTTTTATTCGAGAGAATCTCGAGGCTCATCAAAGATACGTCTTGAAAGGCTCCTTATAAGTAGTTGACAGATATCAGAAAACCTACTGGTGTACAGCAGCTCCGTGGGCCCAATGGCCTCCACCGCCACCACCCCTGATAGCTCGTTTGGTGGTGCCTGCATGGTTTGTGCTAATAATAGTTAGTTACATTGCTCAAGTTATACAAATTGGCTTGCGTATGTGAAAGTCCAAATCTAGGTATAACGTACTCGTGAGTATTTGCGGCTCCCCATCCGCCGCCGCCTCCTCCTATCCATCTTTTGCTCTCATCCGCGTGAGTTGTGCTGAAAAACCACTTAGCCCATCTACCCGACTCCCTTACTTGTCTTTGATGCGAGATTTGTAGGCACATATAAGACGACTTACTCGTGCCCAGCCGCGCCCCAGTGGCTTCCACCACTATTCCATCGCCTTTTCGTATCTACATGATTTGGACTATCACGTCAAAGTTAGCTGAGTGATTTTTAAGTAAATAAATACTCTTGAAATGGAGTACAAGGTCACAAATGCGAATTGAAGATGAATTACTCATGTGTTTCCCAGCCCCAACCGCCACTCCCCCCTCCCCCGATCGACCTCTCCTCCACACTTACAAAACCCGGGCTAATAGGTACCAGTCAGCCGAACCTTTCAAAAAGAACCTCCGCTTCTAGGATTCGAGATGTAACTAACCCGGTGTAGACATCATGAGCACTCGCAGCGCCGATTCCGCTTGTGTGGGACTTTTTATCTAGTGGAATGGCGGCAGAAAATGCCAATGGCAAGGCCAGGGCTAACATGTAGATTGATTTTGGGAAGAACATGGTGATAGGGTTTCCTTTTCGAAGTAATTCTTTGAGGTGTCAATTTTTATGAAACGAAATAAGGAATCTGTTGTCAATGAGAGATTGAAGAAAGCTTCGTGGATGACTGATAGGAGATATATTTATCTTTCGATTCTCGTCCTTATCTGGTCGGAGAAATATAAGGCTTAGACCTGAGCGGAAGTTCTTGTTGATGGCCATTGCGGTATGAATATATGGCTGTTCAACTTGAACTTTGAGCTTCGCTACTCTGGATTTCAAAACGACTAGTTTGGATGACATTCTCAGATGAAGACTTAACCGCTAGAACAACCTTTCGGGACCAGCCCTAGACTCGGTGATGCCCCTTAACTACTATATTCGAAGAGGCAGGTCGCATCCGTCGGAAAGATGCTCACTCCACTGTATTCTCCCGAAGAATGTTGAGAAATTGCACAAATATGACAAATTATCTAGATGTTTTTACACGTCACTTAAAGTGCAAACTCCGAATAATCGGCTTGATATAGTTAAGTTCTCCACCAAAACTGAATCCGCCGCTACACTTGAAGTTTGATAATAGATATATACGCGTCTACAGCCATGGCAAATATATTTAAGCTTTAGGCGAACGAAGTGTTTCCTTGTGACGTTTAAATTCTTTACATTAAAACCCTAAGTTTATTCAACAATAGATAGCATTATGGAGTTCGCGAATCTTTGTTGTGCGGATCTAGAACCTTCGAGCTCCAATCTAAGCGCTTAATCGAGCCAAATACTATTGCAATAAACTTTATACGCGATCTGACACGAATAGTCTATAGAAGTGCATGTTTTGCCACTCGGATCGTTACATGTGAGACCTCAAAGATTGTAGCGACACATGCAAATGTGTACACAAACCTCACTTGATTAAATTCACGAGATCAATACTATCGATGGCCCGGCATCGGTGTTATGATGTCTAGACATCCTGGTCTATGGTAGGTTTCAATCTTTAGCAGCGGCCGCATGCCGTAATAGTGGATATTCGGCCTTGGTAGTGTATGATGGGGCTGAAAAATGACTTTCATCTCGCGGTTCACGACATATGTAGTCGGTCTACCTTCCGAATATAGCAACCAATGTAGGGAGCCGCAACATAAGCTATCTTTCTATGCTATAAACAGCCGGATATGGGCCCATATCTGCTACCAGTTGGGTATTTCACAGGTTGTGGAATCTATAGATCGGAGGCCTAAGTCGAGTTTATATCGGTGCTGTATTGATATCTTTTACACTCGCAGAGGTAGAATCCTCGAGGCTAGGTAGGCATCTCTCATCCCTAGGACTGGGTTTGCATTTGCGAGAGCAGCTAACATTGAACTTGTGGATCTCCTTGTTGTTTCGGATAGGTATCAAGTTCGATAGCTCTGAGAATTTTGAAATTCTGGCCCAAGGTATGCTTTAGATCGTCAGGAGCAAAATATGGTAAACTTAGATGCCATAGAACTCGTAAGTCTAACTATTGTCAATGCATCGCAGCTGCGCCGCTGCGCAGCATTGTGCAACATCATAGAATGTAGGTGTAATGTTGTACTAGAGGTCAAACACTCATGCGTGCGCGCTAATATCGATCGCTAGGTGCACTTATTGCGACGAGCTAGTCTTGCTGCCCGGTTTGGGCAACGGATACTCGGATCATATTCAAAAATACAGTTAGCACACAAGAGATGTCTGTGGGTTGGTGCATCCAACATTCACTTTTGCCAAGATATCGCATTTTGAGGTTCTGCGAAAGGAAAAGTTTTTGCGACCCGGAATTTGTGTGCAAGCGGCGGGTCGCATAGACCGTCCTATCTTGGAGCCCACCACCCGCCATCAGTCTCGGTGGTTGGTCTTTGTCGGGTTGGGTTGGAAAGCTAAAAATTGGATGCTGTCAAAAAGAAACAGTCCAGTGTAATTTATAACTAACCTCCGCATTTCAAATGCTTATAATGTCTAAAATCTCGTTCAATACCAATTCGAAAACCCTTTCCCCTGTCGTGAGCATAAATTTACAACCATGAAACCCTTCAAAATGCTCACTTCGGTGTCGGATGTTGTAGCAACACAACCTCAACAGAAATACAACATTGTCCCATACCAATCCCAACCCCCTCGGTCGAAATCGAAGCTACGATATCGTCAATATTATGCACAGGATAGCGATAGCACGAAAGCCCTCATGAATCACTCCAAAGAAGATCTTAACTGGTGGGGAGACGCTGAAAGAAATGCAAACGATGTTGACTCTTCTACTGGGCTCTGGCAGAACTTGAGTATCCAAGCATGCATCATCTGCTTAAACGTCTCACTTTTCATCGGATCCGCTTTCTGCTATTATGAAACTTTCTACGCCAAACATCCTTTCCCATGGTATACCAACAAAGGCTACAATTACGAGCTCAGAGGTTATTCTTACTATTGTAAGTCAATGGCGGATACCTTGGTTAGATAGTTGGGAATAGGAATTATAAATATTATTTTATAGCAAAATAGGTCAGAACACCCGGTGCAAGCCATTCTGACCGCATTTTCAGGTCAAATGAAACCAAAAGCTAACAAGACTACAAAATATAGCACCACTACTCGATGTGGTCGATGTACCAAGTAAGATTGAACAAATTAACGGCTCGCTATTCCCCGGCCCGAATCCCTCAATCTACCGTCTCCCACCATCGCCGCAAGTCGACGAAGCATGGGAATCTGTTTCCCACGTCGCAATGTTCGGCATCAAGGCCTCAGATGTCGTCAAGTTGGGCAAAGATCCTCTCAAAGCCGTAAGAATTCCCGAATCCCTCGGGTTCCCGCCGAATACTCACCTCGCCCAACTCGATTCAATACATCAAATACACTGCCTGAACGCTCTTCGCAAAGCCGTATTCTCAGAATATTACTTTGATACTGAGAAGAAGAAGCCCAACAGATTGCATTGGATTCATCTTAGCCATTGCGCAGGGGTCCTACTTCAGAACCTCATGTGTCAAGCGAACTTAGATGTCATAACCCTCAACTGGAGAAGCACGCAGGCTAACCCGGTCCCTGACTTCAATGTAAATAAAAAATGTAGGGATTTTGGGGTCATTAAAAAGTGGCAGGAGAAGAACATGATTAGGGAAGAGGTGTTGGAAAAGATTGTTCGGCCGAAGGATTATGTCGAACTTCCGCCACCGGTTCAGAACATCCTAGATGCGTTTCAAGAGGCTAGAACTCCGTGGGATTTTGACTGGTCAAATATGTGATAGATGAGATACTGATAATGGGTTGAGCTTCTTGGAAGAGCCCTATAGTCGTACAAGGGCCTTTCGTCTCGGGGGACATATATCACACGCAAAGAATTTAAAGGGCCATGGAAATAGTAAAATTATCTAATAATTTAATGATTGACTTTTGGAGAAAAATGC